TCAGCTCCCTCTACTCTGTCTAGTTCTTCCCAGCATTCCCTCACCTCCATATCTTCTCCCTTTCTTCCTCTTGTTGGAAAAGAACAAGCTTCTAAGAGATAAACAGCCAAACATGACAAAATAAAATGTAATAAGATAAAGTAAAAACTATCCTATAAGATAAAGTAAAAACTATCCTATCAAAGTTGGACAGGATAGCCCAAGAATTGGTTCTCCCACTCAGGAGTTCAATAAAAATACTAAGCTGATAGCTATAGTATATACGAGTAAACACACACCAGAGACAGAGAGAGAGAGAGAGAGAGAGAGAGAGAGAGAGAGAAACCCGGCTCCCTGCAGCGTTAGAGAGTCTCTGCTGCCACCTAGTGGTCTTCCCAGCCCCCAGCTCTCCCCACAGCTGGTTCTCTGACCCTGTCCGGTCCCATTTAGCAAATGCAACAATCCCTCTAAGTCCAGACCGGCCTCAGCGGGGGCGGAGGGTCAAGTGAGGACAGAATGAGCTCCGGTGTGGGCAGACATGTGTCAAGCTACTGGAGTCCCAGTGACAGACATCTTGCGCAAAACGCTTACACGACCTGACAAGCCCTGAGATCGGCTCAGAGATAAGAGATTCTGCGGACGACCCGGAAGCAGTGAGTCCCTTGGCTTTGCTTTTCGCGTAGATTTGACTTTTTGTTTGCAATGCAATGCTGAGGCTGGAACCCGGAGGTCAGAGTACTCCTTTCAAAATATTTTTATTTCTTTACTGTTTCTGTGTGTGCGAATGTGTGCGAGCATGCATGTATGTGTGTGAGGGCTTAGGGAGTGGGGCGCACAGGAACCAGGGCACACGTGGAGGTCAGAGAACAACTTTGTGGCTTCAGCACGCTCCAAGTTTACGCTGCCTCTGGGGTCGGATCACCAGTCTGTGCAGCAGGAGCTGAGCACCTTCCCAGCCCTCTTTTGTCCTCGGGGCTGCAGGGATGGCTGCCCTCTGATTGCCGGGACACGGAGGATCACAACTCCAGTCCTAGGGGTTCTGGATCAGTTCCGGCCTCAGCAGACACCAGGCATGCATGTATTACTCAGACAATACATGCAGGCAAACGTTTATACATATAGAAAATGGTCAATATTAGGAGCTAGACCAATGCTTCCCAATCAAACTTCTAGAATGATGGGGGCCTTCTGCACCTGGCTCCCCAACATTGTTTACTCCATGTTGAGACAGGTTTGAAACTGAGGTTCCGCCCTTTGGCCTCTAGAGTAGCTGGGATTCCATGCCTGTACCACCAAGCCCGAGGTAAAGCCTGCTAAATGGAAAAGGGCCATCTGAAGAGGTTGTAAACTGGGCGGTTCCAACTACAAGGCCTTCTGAAATGGGTAACCGGAGATGGTCCCAGGCCTGACCGCAGCAGGCCCTATTAGAATGTTTTTCTTTTATTAATAATTTAATTTTTATGTGTACTGGTGTTCTGCACACATCAATATCTGTGAGGGTGTCAGGACCGTGTGGGTGCTGGGATTTGAACCCAGGTCCTGTGGAAGAACCTCTGGCTCTTAGCCACTGAGCCATCTCTCTATTCTCTTGTGTTCTGCCTTGTGTTCTCCAGTTCTCACGGAGTAGAGGCTGGCCAAAAGTTACTGATGCTCTCCTTCTACCATATGGGTTCCAGGAATGGCACTATGTCGGGAAACTTGACAGCAACACCTTTACACACTAAGCCACCTTGCCAGCCGGACAGCGTTGCCACCTTGCTTTTTGAGATTTATCTCACTAGGACAGGGACTCAGTGATTCAGCTGGACTTGCTAGTTTGTAAGGTCCAGAGATCTCCACCTCTCTAGCTCCAGAATTAGAGGTACACACACATACCACCACGACTAGCTTTGGGTGCTAAGGCCCAAACTTAGGTCTCCATACTTGCAGGGACAGCTTCACCACCTGAGGCCAGGTCCTCTTTCCTCACATCTCCAATTAGCAGGATCGGGACTGTTTCAGACACAAAATCAAACTTTTCTAGTTAACCTGCCCTTCCTGACCAGAAGGACCAAGCACCTTAATTAAGAAGGAAGTAAACTATACAAGTGTCCTCTTGTGACCTTTACCATGGGAGGACTGTTAGTATTTAGGCAGCCTGCTCAAACCGTGTCTGCTACAGGCAACTGTGCCCTCGGTCTCTGGTCAACACTGACGAGCTGTTGGAACAGATTGTACCATACTACTCTACTTACTGAGCCAAACCTTGCTCTCGGGATGCCTTGACAGGTCTCTGACTCCTACCTGACCAATGAGGATAGTTCATTAGTCCGTTCGTTCCTCCTGATTCTACTCTGGGATGTCTTCTGGTGAATTTCAGATTTCTACACCTAGCGCCGGCTTTAAGGGCCTCTAAGCTTACATACTTCTGTAACCAAACCTCAAACCAAACCTTAGATGACAGATCCAAAGCAAGCCTTTTTTTTTTTTTTTTTTCTAAAATTTACTTATTATGTATAGTGTTCTGTCTTCATGTGTGCCTGCACGCCAAAAGAGGGCACCAGCTCTCATTATAGATGGTTGTGAGCCACCATGTGGTTGCTGAGAATAGAACTCAGGACCTTTAGAAGAGCAGCTGGTGCTCTTAACCTGAGCCATCTCTCCAGCCCCAAAGCAAGACCTTTTTAATTACTGCCAGTGATTGGGTAAATGGAGGTTCCAATGTTCAAGTCTCTTCTTTGATCCAAACCTTCCACCTCTGTTCGCTCTCCCAAAAGTTTTAAATGTACACCTAATGAAAATTTCTCCACAACCTACTTAACTTTGTCTTCTGCCTATATATATGTTTCAGTATCCTGCGAGACCCAGGTGTTTCCTATGTCCACGACAGCACCAAAGCAGCTACCACAGGTGTTCCAGTTTGAGCTCACAGACTTTCATCAAGCTGGACCTGCACTTTCCCTCCCAGCCATGGATGTTCTCACAGACCCTGGGCAGCATCAAAGCAGCCTGTTCTTCCTATACCTGGCCAGCATTTCAGCCTTTTGACCTCCCTATAGTGCCCCCAGTATCAGCAGGAAGTAGCCAGAAGAGAATCTATGCCGTTATTCATTATTAACAAAAGCCTAAAATGGTGTGCTTCAGGTCCAGGACAGGTAACCTGGGTTCTCCCAGCACTGCTCAGTCCCCACCTGCTGCTGGGCATGGCTAGCAACTCCACCCTCTACCCTGAACTTTCCAGGGTAGAGGCTTCCCCGCCTCCTCACTATGTAACCTGGATATTGTTGCTATTTCTCTCCCTCTCTCTCACCCCTTTGCATAGCAACCAAGAGCTGCTTCCAAAGAACCTACATTTATATACTTTCACTGCCTTACATGAGAAGCAGCCCAAGCTCCTCATTTTTTAATTATAGAAAAAGGGAGGGACATTAGGATTTAGGCAGCCTGCTTCTGGGTTGCCTAGCAACCTATGACGTCATCACGTGTCGCACAGAAGGCTAAATGGACCTCTGCCTCTTGCTCTTTTGCGCTCTTGCTGTCTCCTCTGCTTACTCCCCATTCTCTGTCGGGGCGCCCCCTCCACTCCTCCTATCATGTCTCTGTCTCCTTCTCCCTCTTCATCTCCATCCAACAAACCTCTTTCATATACGTGTTGTGTGCATCACCATTTCAAGGATGGCACTGCAGACCCAGCAATTCAAGGCCTTGGTACACACTGCAAGTGTTTAAACAGAATGTATAAATCACAATAGGTGAATGGGTGACAAAATGCACCGCCAGATACCCATCAGGTATCTGTGATGAAGTATTGTGTAACCGTCGACATTAATGACAAGCCCAGCAGGGGTTACAGGGACAGACACCTGAAGTCTGAGCATTCAAGTGGAGGCAGGATTAGAATTCAAGGTTGTTCTTGACAACAGAGCAAGTTCAAGGCCAGCCAACTGTCTGACAAAAATCAAGAATCTACTGGGAAATGGGAAGCTAGTTATGCCTGTGGGGGATTGCCATCTTTTTAAAAATTCTTCTCTTACATACTACATCCTGACAGCAGCTTCCCCTCACCTCCTTTCCTCCAGCCCCTCTCCCCCAGATCCACTCCTGTTTCCCTTTAGAAAAGGGCAGGCCTCCCAGGGATATCAACCAAACATGGCTTATCATGTGGCAAAAACTCTAGGCCTTTCTCCTCTTATTAAGGCTAGACATGGCAACCCAACAAGAGGAAAAGGGCCCCAAAGCAGGCAAAGGAGTCAGAGACAGCCCCCGCTCCTGTGGTTAAGAGTCCCACAAGAAGGCCAAGCTATACAACCATAACATATGCAGAAGGCCTAGGTCAGACCCATGCTGGCTCCCAATTGCTGGTTCAGTGTCTGTGAGGCCTTGAGGCCTGGTTAGTTTATTCTGTGAATTCGTGTGTGTTTGGGGGTGTCCTTGACCCCTCTGGCTCTTACAGGAATGACTCTTTCAAAAACTGATCTTATGTATATGGTGTTTTGCCTGCATGCAAAACATCAAGTGCATGCTGGGAAGGCCAGAAGAGGGCATCAGACCCTCTGGACCTGGAGTTACGGGTGATTGTGGGCTGCCATATGGGGTCTGAGAACTGAACCCCGGTCTTCTGGAAGAGCAGCCAGTGCTCTTAACCACTGAAAGGTGGCTCTCCAGCTGACCAGGAGTGGAACCGTGGTCTGGGTACTCACAAGCTCATCAGTAGCATGTGTTCTTCCCTCAGCTATCATTTTTACTTAGCCTGTGTGTGTGAGAGAGAATGCATGTGCACTGTGTACCCTACAGAGTATCTGCCAAAGCAGGCAACAGAACTCAGAGGACAAGCTGCAGCAGTCGATTCTCTCCTTCCCAGGCTAGAACTCAGCTATCAATCGTCAGCAAGCGCCTTTGCCTGCTGAGCCACTTCAGCAGCCCCATCTCTCTGCCTCCTGGCTGCAGATACAATGCGAACAATTCTTCAAGCTCTTGCTACCTTGACCTCCCTGCCGGATAGACGGACCTGAAACCATGAGCCAGAATAAGCAGCATCTCCCTTAAGTTGCCTCATCCAACTTTTATTTAACCGAAAAGCGCTGGCAACATGGCTGCATATCTTCTTGTAGTCTGAGCTGGAGATGGGAAACCAGGGCAAGAAGGCAGAAAGTGGAGGAATTCGGGGAGGGGTGAGGAAGAGGGCAGAACAGAGCACGTGACAGGGAGGATTCTGGGGAGGCACACACACACACACAGAGGCAATCTCTGGCCTGACTTGGTAGCCGCAGGAACATCAAGGAAAGACCACAGGTCTTTGAGACATTTCAGTCCTTCCTGTCATGAAGCGGCCTCCAAGAGAAGCAGGCCAGGATGTCTCAGGACTGTGGAGAGAGAAAGAGGGAACAGTCGGTTAGGCAGAGGGAGACCTTAAAAGGGAAGCAAAGCCAGGTGTGGGTGGCACACGCCTGCAATCCCAGCAATCCTCCTACTTGAGCTTTCACAATGTGTGGCTGAGCTGAAACTGTAAGTAGATTCCTGGCGCAAAGCATGTTGGGAACATCTAGTCCATGGGGCTAGCTTGTAGACCAAGCTGGCCTTGAACTCCCGACAATCTGCCTGCCTCTGCCTCCCTGCATGCTGGGATTACAGGAGTGAGCCACCGCACCCAGCTAGCGGATTCTTTTATGTTTTGCTTTGGTTTTTGACGTGTATGAAGTGTTTGTCTGCACATCTATCTGTGCGCCATGTGTGTGCAGTGCCCTCAGAGGCCAGAGACATCAGGTCCTCCGCAACTGGAGTCACAGATAATTACGAACCACTTTGTCCGTACTGGGAACTGAACTTGTGTCTTCTGAGAGCAGCCAGTGCTCTCAATTGCTGAGACCTCTCCAGCCTCACTGTTTTGTTTTGCTCAGCCATGAATGGTCCCAGGAGGCCCAGGTTGGCTTCTAACTCCTGGCGATCCTGCCTCAGCCTCGGAAGTGCTCGCTCCTGCCACCCCTAGCGCTGGGATGAGGGGGGTTGGTCACTTTACCCAGTACAGTGCTGCGCTCACCAACTGAGCAGCATCCTCAACCACAGGCCTCATTTCCTTTAGCATCTTCCACTCCAGAATCAACAGGGCCACTTACAGCAAGGTAAGCCCCTGCCCCCATCCACTCTGAAACCCACCAGGTATGACCCCCAGCCCTCCTGGCTCCAGAGGCTCCAGGATGTGGCCACCTCCCACGTCCCATGCTGAGAGTCCAAACACAGAGGAAGGATGCAACACCCCAAGGTGGCCCCACCCCCCCAGCAGTCCCGTACCTCTACCTCCAGGGCTCACTGGCACTGAGCCAGGGCAGCTTTGATGGCAGTCACCAGCTTCCGGAACTTGCTTTCCGTATCCACATAGCCATCACCTCTCTGAAGAGGAGGACAGAGGAGAGTTGACTGAAGCTCCCCGCCCCCACCAACCCACACTAGACCCCCGAGGCAAGATGTGGGTTTACCTTCTTGGAGTGAACCAACTTCCCAGCTACTGTCACTTCAAAGAACCCGGTGACCTGGGGAGTCCCCTCGCCATACTGAGGAGAGAAGACGTTAGATGGGCTAAGATGATCTTTCCAGAATACTTTCTCTGCCACATCCCGGGGAGTGAGGAGCATAAGCCTATCCCAGCCCCACTGCCTCCCAGCCCCAAGGGACAGATAAGGGGCCATGTGATTCCGCACTTATGTTGAGACTCACGATGTCTAGGCATCCGGGGAACTCATGTTCTAGCTTCTCCTTGAGCTGGAGATACTGAAAACAGGGCACAGGGCGGGGACAGGGTTACAGCCAGGTCTGGCGAACTCTCCCACCCCCTAACACACTTCAAGACACTACTGAAATTTCACTCACCTTGGGCTTATAGCCTCAGGCTCCACTGGTGGGTGAATCCCGGGTCGAGGTCCATCAGGGCAGCACAGGTGCCCAAGGGAGGCAGGCACGAGCGGGGAGATGAAGACAAAGACAGATCCAGAGTGCAGGGGAGGCAACAAAGATCCTCAAAAGAGGGGAAGACACGCATAGCGCGCAGAGAGAGACGTGCAGCAGTGCAGAGATACAAAGAAAGCCGCACCAAACAAGGGGGCAAGAGAGGAGGAGAGGCGGGGGGGGGGGGGGGGGGGGGGGGGGG